GTACGGTTTCATCAGATAAGAAGCTTCTTGAGAACGCCGCGTCACTTAACGGCGAGTTGCTTTGTAGTGAGGTATCCCATAGCGAGCTCCTGGATGTGTCTTGAGGTGATTCCGCTTGTGGTTGCCTTTGGGGCAGTCTTCTTGCCCAAGTATTGGAGCGAGCTGATTCTCTCAGCTCGCGAGCTGGGATAGACTTAACTTAGAGTATTCCCTTTCTACATACCGGGGTCCATGAGCTCACGCTGTAGCGAGCTCATTCCGTGGCGAGCTGTCCTGCGAGGACCTTAGCAAGCTCGTTACTCAGTTGTAGCCAGTCTGTCATGCTGAGCTGTTGCTTATGCCGAGTCACGTCCACGTGTCACCTTCTTAGGAGGTCGGGTCAAATCACCCTCCATCACTTAACAAACAGGAAAACTAATTTAATATAAATTTTAATGTCTGAAATTGGAATTTCTGATAACTGTATACTCTGTTCGCAGAATACAAAATCAAAACACACCTGTTATGCTTGGTCTACTTTCATTCCTAATCACGCCTGATCTTCTAGCTCTCTCCTTGTCAATAATGTTTTTTCGCCTGGTCATGCTTGATTTGGTGTTCTTGTCGAGCACGGGATTTAGCTTTGGTCTGCTTGGTCACGTCCAATTTGGTATTCGTCGCCTGGTATGCTTGATTAAATCCTCTTTCTGCCCCCTTTTTTCTCTCAAAAATAGAGAATGACGTGAATAGAAAGTCTGCCAAGTAGCAAGTGAGAAAAATAAGAGATAAAGTGGGTTGACAGTGGCGTGAAAATACAAAACTCCAAAAAACTAGGAGATAAAGTTAAAAATTAAAGATATTCCACACCGGATAGGCAAGAGGGGGAAATAGGGTTACATATACTCTTCTTTTATTGGTTGTCTTGAAAATGATATGGAATAAAAAATTCAGAAAAAGGATAAAATTTTTTGACCGCTTTGTTTTAATATATATATATATATATATTATAATGTAATATAATATAAAATAGGGCCATTTACTAGAGCACTCCTTATAGTTTTATGTATTTACTTAAACCTACTCTATAATTTTTTTTCACTAAAACACCCATTGTAGTTTACAATCTATTTACTTAATTGACTTTTCATTAAGAAGTGTTTGTTTTGTGATTTGAAAATAGTAACATGATCACTTAAACTTAATGGAAAATGTTCAAAGGATGGGCCCATGATTGTTTATTCCAAAATTACTCTTAACACTTTTTTGTATAGAAAAACAAAATTGATCAAATAGAGTGATTGCATGTCTTACTAGGGAAAAATGATATTTTATTTTTATTTTCTTTTGATTAAATTTATTCAAATGGATGTTAGGTCAAAATTGTCATTTTTCATTCTCCTAAGTCGATTAAATAAATTGATTGCAAACTATAGGAGTATTTTAGTAAAATGCAAATTATAGTTTAGTAAAACTATAGGAGTATTTTTTGTAAATCTATAAAACCATAAGGGGTGTTTTAATAAATGAAAACATACACGCACAAATATATATCTTGCAGGCTGGGCCTAAGTGGTTGGGTGCAAGTGCAACCCGCGATTTTCGGGCCTGATGTGGGTCTGAGCCTAAGCACAAAACGTAGGCCCTCTCCTCCATCAATACCAGCAAATTGCTCTGCTCGCCGCCCGACAGCTAACAGAGTGGCTCTACTGAGAGTTTTCCGGCAATGAGCAGGTAATGGTTCATCTCTCCTCCCTCTTTCTCTCTCTACAAGCTACATTGATGTCTACTGATGTTAGAAGTCGATGGTATTTCTTTTGTTCTTAATCATAAACATGTATAGGCGATTGAGAGGATTCAAGCGTTGGATGAGATCCCAAGGCATTATTTGCAGCGACGCTCTCGAATTAACTGACGGCGGCGATGAAGGGATATCAGTGAGATCTGTCTGCGATTTGGCGGAAGGGGATCTTGTAGCGACAATACCCAAGAACGCTTGTCTCACCATTAAGACATCTGCTGCTCGGGAGATGATCGAAGAAGCAGGTTTAGCAGGTTCTCTGGGTCTTTCAGTTGCGCTCATGTATGAGAAAAGCTTGGGGGAGGCATCGCCCTGGGCTGGATATTTGCAAATCTTGCCTGAGAGAGAGTGCCTGCCTGTGGTCTGGACTTTGGATGAAGTCGACACTTATCTCCACGGAACTGAACTGCACAAGGTGAATTATTGCTGATTTTGATTAGACACTTATGTTGCTTGTTGAATGAAAATGCCATCAATGCAGTGGTTTTTATTTTATTTTATTTTTGTTTACCTTTGCTGTTATTCATTAAATGAGTTATGTAGAATTTTCTAGCTTGGGACCTTCTTGGGACAGAAAAAAGGTAAGGAAAACGATCAACTCTGTTCATGAGTCGGTTCTGAAACCATCCGTACTAGGATAACATGAGGAAAGAAAGGATGGATATGCGTTGCCTGTAATAGATTACCCTATGCTGCACTAAAATACAATTATAGTGTTTTTTCTTTTACTGTTTATTCATATAGTTAGTTCTGAGATTATATTATAGGATAGTATAAGGCAATGTTGATTATTTGAATTAAGCCCTTTGGTTGCCAGTTCTGGTGCTTGCGTCCACAATAGAAACAAATGGTAAGATTACATAGAAAAAGAGTAGTTGGTTGAGTCACACAGCCTTGAATTAGACTCTTGGAGTCTCACCTTAGAACTCTAATTCTAGATTGGAGCCACACTTCCAAGGTACCAAATACTCAAAGAAAATATTCAATTCATTCACTGCTGAAAACAGATTGGTAGATCCCTTTATATAGACAAGCCTTTCTTTAGTAGCCGACGTCCGTTGCAACTGAACCCCTTGTGAATCTTGGCACTTGGCTCCTCTGATCTCCACAACTTTCATCTTCAAAGCTTTATTTTTTGAGCCTTTTTTCTTATTAACTTTCTTGAACTTGTTGGTAGGACCAGCACCAACCAAACCATAAATGTGAAAAAACTTTTGACACATGGCTAAATTGGAACTTGCTCGGCTCTCTCACTTTCTTCAAAGACTGAAGAAGAAGCATCCCTTTCCTTGATCTCAGAATTCCTTCTTTGGCCTAAGTCGATTCCAAGTATTCCAACTGGGACTCAAAGCGTAAATGCTCTTCTCGAACTTCTGACCCACCATTCTCATCTCCTTTGCTCGCTTCTTCAGGCTGACTATTTGTTTCCAACCTCCTGGCTTCCCCTCCTTCGAATTCCCCCCTCCTCTACACCTCTTTTGAGAATCTTCATCCCCTTTACTCCCTTCTCCTCTCCTTTCTCTACCCCAGCCTCCTTTCCTCCCTTGTCTCTTTCAACCCTAGCAGAATCCTCGTCAGATGACACCAAATGCTCCCTTTGGGGTGAGTCAGCAAGAATTTCCACCATAAAAGAGCCGCAACAGATAGACCTACCTGAATTCTTAGAATTAGGGGTGGATTCAAGCCAAGCTGAATATTTGGCTATTTGAGCTCGGCTAGCCAGAAAGCCATGATGCTCGAGCTCGGTTTGAACCAGAGAGTTGAGCTCAAGTTAGAGGGTTCGACTCGACTCAAAAGCTTGTAAGCTCAAGCTCGACTGTGAGCGAAGCTTCCTATAAAATTAAAAATTTATAAATATAATTTTTTTAATTTTACATATAAAAAATTTAAGAATTATAAAAACTAGTTATTATTATACATATAATAACTAAAAATATTATATATATTATATTTTGTTATATATATGTTCGATTAAGCTTGCGAGCCTTACGAGCTGAGATATATTAGGCTTGATCTAGGCTCGAATAGAAAATGAGCCTATATATTGGGCTTGAGTTCAGCTCGAAACTTGGTCTAGACGAGCTATATTAGGTTGCACACTTGCATGCGAACCATCACCTTGTCTCCTGCAGTAAACTCCATAAACCTTCTATGTCCATTTGCCTTAATTTTATATTTCTCATTACTAAGGGCAACCTTTTGTTGAACATCTTCATGTATATCATGGATGTGCCTAGTGTAATCTTCAACTTCCTGGTTGGACCTAGAAGTTTTAGGCATGGCAACAATATCAATAGGATGCCATGGCTTGAACACCATTACAATGACAAATGTGGCCTTCCTGTTGTCCTATTAATTGAGCTATGTGAGCAAACTCTGTTGTGGTTTGAATCATATCCCATGCTTGAACTCTTTCCTTTATAGGATCTCAACAAATTCCCCAAACTCCTACTAACTACTTCTATTTGACTATCCATTTGGGGCTGAAATGCACTTGAGAATTTGAACTTTGTACCCACAATTTGTCAAATTACTCATGAATTTGAGATCCCTATCTGATGCAGGAGCTGAAGAGTCAAAATTGGAAATTTCTGAAATTTTATGTATTTCTGTAGTTTTGGACACCAGGGACATTTTTGCTATTTTAGAATTTTTCTATAGGGTCCAATAATAGAGTTTCATTGTCTATTTATAGTTTGTTTATGTTTACAATTTTAGAGTCGTTGCATAAGTAGGATTAGAGTTATTGAGTCTTTTCTGAATTGAAATAAGATATGACAGCTTAGTTTGAGTCCTTGGATTATTGGGTCTTAACAGTTTGATTCCTATGACTATTATGAGTATAACAGTTGACTCCTAGGATTATTATGTGTTTAGAGTCTATAAATATGTATGGACGTTTTACACAAAGAACAGTGAAGTTTATCGAGTTTTCTTCAGCTTATGCTAATTATGATGAGTGATTCCTATACCCTCACATGGTTGTATCAACAATAGGATTTTGGATGTTATCCTGCTAAACAATGATTTATGTGTTTACCTCTATGTAAGTTGAATTGCTAATTGGGAGAGCTTTGGGCAAGCTTCGAGGAGAAGTTCGTGCCTGAAACTAGGTGGAGGAAGGTGTTGGAAGTTGAGAAGAAAAGATTCCTGCTGGAAGAAACAAGTGGAGGGTCGATGGTCAAGATCAGAGAAAACAAAAGGTCTGTGGTGCTTCTAAACAGGGAGGCGTTAGGGTGGCTGAAAGGTTTTATCGACAGCATACTCTTCGGAATTATAGAGTCTGAATGGAAAGGAGAAGGAAAACTGAGTTCGCAGGGGAGGACTTTTTTTGTGGCAAAGAAGTCTAACAGAAGAGGTGGATATATTCAGTTGAGTGAAGTTTTCGGTAAGGGTAAAAAACAAATAATTTGCATTACAAAAGGAAGGGGAAAACAGGGATGAGCAAGGTTTGCTGGACGGCCTGGAACATAGAAGAAGGTTAAAAGAAAAACTGCTTACACCTATTGCTACTCCAGAGGATATCACAGAAAACAGGCAAGAAGATTCAAGTTTTATTGAGGAAGGGAATGCCCTCAAAGGTTTGTGTGGTTTCTTTGTGCTCGAAGCTGGTGGTTGAAGGAAATCTGGAGGACTGGCAACAGAAGAAGGTGGAGTGTTGCAAGATGTCATGACACTCTTCCCATCAGTTGAGAAGGCTACACTCTTTCCGTTCGAAACAAATTCTGCTGTCCTTGACATTTCCAGTTGGCATGAGCTGACTGGTTCTGTGAACACTCATGACATTTCCAGTTGGAAGTCACCTTTCTTAAAAGAACCCCCTCCGTTTCCACTTGTACCTCCCTTGACTACCAAGGTTCCCCCTCTGAACAATTCATCACACTTCTTCTACTCTCTTCAGACTAGACTAAGGCATAGACCTCCTAGATTGAAGGTACATCCTTGCTTCCCAAGATCTGTACTTTGATAGACTCATATATAGAATTCAGCCCCAAGAAAAAAAGCAAATACCTTCTGCTGGGAGACAAGAGACTTGTAAGCTTTTGCATTTTCATCACACTTCCAATTCACATTTTGATAATAATCCAGCTTTTTCCAGATTGATGTCAAATCTGAGTAATATACTAAGAGACTCCTCTCCCCCTGTTTACATGTAAACGATTCAGCTTGCAGTTGGTAGATCTTCACATAGTGTCTTTGTTCTGAATAGGTAGATTTTGCTTGTTCCCGTATTTGACAAACTGTTTTAGCCCATATAAAAGTTTTCCTCACTTGTGGCAGCATGGACACCAATAGCCATGACATCACCATACTATATTCTTGATCCCATCTGTCATGTTCAGCACTTCTAGTCTTTGGTTCCTTCACCTTACCATTGATATACCCTATTTTTCCCCTAGCAGTGATGTAGAGCTTAATTCCCCTGGACCATTCAAGGTAATTGAGTCCATGAAAGGGAATCACAGCCATAGAGAAACTCATATCCATCCCCACTCATTCCATTTTTACCTACACCAACACCTGAAGTTGCAGAATTTTCAGAGGACATAATTCTGTTCACTATTCAGCTCCAAGTACACACCCAAGGGTCTCTCCTGACACAAATCACTCCCAGAAACACACTAGGACTACAGTTCACATACACCCACTGCAGTCTGGGCACAAACCAGCTCTATTTTTTCTTCTTCAAAAAAACAAATTTTAGGTTAATTTTAGGGCTGAAACAGATTTAGTCACAGTCACAGTCAAACTTCCAGACCATGTTATCACCTCAACTACCAGGAGGGACCACGAGCAATGCTGCCAGTCAAAACGTGACCCACAGAATTCTCATTCTTAGGTAAAAGGATCACATGATCCATAGAAAAAGGTTAGAAACCTAAAAACAGGTAATTCGTGACCTACAAAATTGTCATTCTTAGGTATAAGGATCACATGATCCACAGAAAAAAGGTTAGAAACCTAATACACACTTCCTCACAGCATTCAGCAACTTCAGTTTCTATTTTTTGCTGGTACACGACTAGGGGGGAGAAGAAAGAGGTAAAGAGCTCTGCTGTTTCAGTCGAAAGTTGGTCCTTTTGATCTCACTCTGAAGAAGACAGCAAGAAGAATTGATCAATCTGTTCTTAATCCTAGTCGTTTCGCTCTGATACCATATTGGAAGTAAAACAGTAGAAAAAATAAGAAGAAAAGAGAGAAACGAGAGAAGAGAGAAAGAAAAGTTGCGATCCAATAATAACAGTTCTGGCGGTGCCAGAATTTATTTAATATTTATAGGGCAACACTTAAAACAACCAAAAAGACACATTTGCCCTTTGCGGCACCTACAACATATAAAACTATCTATTCTGTGATAGAACAAGAATTGGAAGAAATTGATATCTTTCAATTGAGAAAATAGTACATATATAT